GCCAATGCCCGCGCTGGGATGGGGTGGGTTCCGGCTGTCCTGGGTCATTGCAGCACGCACGGGTGACTCGGCTGCGGGTGCGACCTGCAGACGCCTGACTGAGGTTGGTGAAGGCCCTGAAAACCTTCGTTGTTTCTCTCTTTTTGTTTACCTTGGCATGCTGGGTCTCACAGTTGTTTTCCATCGGAAGATTTTTTTTAGACCAGAGGAGGCTTTCTGAGCTGAGGCTGCTTTGCAGAGCCCGGGGGCTGAATGCAGTTTAGAGCGTCTCTGGGTGGCTTCGTTTGGTGGTGGCTCAACTCCTCCTGGCAGTGTCCTCTGGTGTCGCACATGGCTTGAGAGGCGGGTGGTTTGGGTGGGGGGTAGAGAGCTGCAGGAGATCGGGAGTGGAAATTGGGTTTGATTCTCCAGCTCGTCCTGGTTCTTCAGCACAGGCGCCACCGGGACGGCTCTGGAGGCGGGCTGGGGTTTGTGGGATTTTCCTGCGCTGCCGGCCCTCCCCACGGACATGGAGGGAGATGTGGGAAGGGGAGCTTGGGTTGCAGGTGTGAAACGCAGGGAGCGCGTGGCCTCTGGTGTTGTCTCCTCTTTCCCAGCAGAAGCCTTCCTGGGAAATGTAGGAACTGGAGACGGAGTGCTGGTTGCTCACCTTGAGGAACGGTGTCCCATCGGCGAGGACTGTGGGGCTGCGCAGACATCGGAGGTTATCACGGAGCCCCTGCAAAGGGGTGCTGCGACGGGGACCTGCGGGCAGGTCGGGGAGCTCCGCAGGCAGCGCCGGGGGACCAGCGTCCCCAGTCCGAGCATCCCCGGCCTGCAGCTTAGCCCGTGCGATTGACACGGACAGCAGCCTCCCTGCCTGCTCCGGCAGACAGGCAAGCCCCGCTAACGAGGAAAGTAGAGGAAGAAAATTCAATTGGGCAAATTTCCCCGGAGCTTCCAGTGTGAGTCATGTTCCCGGTGCAGGAGGAGATTATCAAGGCAAGTGTGTTAATGTTGCTAATAGGCAGGCAATAAACGGAGATGCTCAGATATGTCACTGCGGAGATCTGACTCGATCTGTTGTTGGAGTGAGACTCCGACACCATGAAATCTCCCAGCGTGTCCTTCTGGCGGAGGTGAACCCGGGGCGAGGGACGCGCCACCGACCCCTCGGCCAGGCAGGTGTTGGCTCCTCTTTTTACCTCCCGCTGTGGCAGAAGGAAGGATGTTTGCTGCTTCTTCCAAGTGTGGAATACAGGAAATTATACATTTGAGACAGAGCATTGCCATGTCCGAAATAACTGTGCTGTGTTATTCCCCAGTGTGAGATTTAATTACGTTCCGTGACAGTGAATTTAATTATGCCCCATACCGCAGTGCCCTGAATGGAGATTTAATGAAGAAGTGGTGTCTGTCTGGAAGGGAGTTCTTTTCTTTGTCTTTAAAATAAGCATTCTTCATTGCCAATAGTCCATGTTGCTTCTTCCCCTTACTTTGTCTGCAGTGGCAGGAATTCTAATAAACCTGCTAAACTGAAGCCATTGCTATCCCAGCAAGCAGCTGTGTTTTTTAGTAGGAATGGAAGGCGTAAAGCAAGCGGCTAAACTGGAGTTTGGTTTTTGCGGATGATACCAGAGCATTGGAATGACATTTTGGCATTGTCTGCCATAAGCACAGCAATGTAATTTCTCCGTTATAAAACGGGGGGCAGCAAACTCGGAGGAGAGGCGAGTCCTCCAGCTCCCCCCTGCGTGCCTTTGGAAGAGGCTCCGGCATCAGGGGGTTGGACGCTGCCCTCCTGGGTGCCGGGGGGCTTTTGACGATGCCAGAGACCACTCTGGTGGATCCGGCAGGATCCGGGCGTTTGGTGTATAGTGTCTATAAGCAAATGGGTCTCTAAATGTAGTACCCACCTGTGCCAGTGGGACTCGTGGGAACAACACACTGCTGACAGCTGAGCCATTTTTTTGTTGCTCTATTTTGGAGTCTAAAATTAGGTTGGAAAATTACAGCTTTGTGGAGTTCCCCTCCACCGCACAGGAAATCTGGGGCAGAGGCAGGAGCT